AAAAAATTTTTTTTTAAATAAAAATACTTTGTAACTGTTGGAAGATGCTTTTGAAAACTAATAAATAAAAAGAATTAGGCTTTTTCCTTCCTCTCCTATATAAACTATACTATTGGGTAACTGTACCAAATAGTCTAAGGGGAAGTTTCTCTTTGTAGAAATATTCCAGCTGAGGAATGATAGGATGTAGTCATGTGTAATCTTAGTCAGCTGAGAGACCCAGGCATCATAAGACCAACCAGGCAGTATTTGCCTCCTGGTGGAATGACATACCACCACACACATGAGATATTGCCAAGAAAAAAAAAAAGAACCCTGATCTGTCAAGTTTCTACACCTATTTGCTAATTCATGTGATACATAGAGAACAGAAATCTGTTAGACATCATCATGGATAAGTCAGCAAGATGCAGACTTTTATAAAAAGGCCTTGTCTTTTAGATAACGTTCTGAAGTGTGACAGGTGAAATGATAAACCAACGTTCCCTTGAGAATAATAAATAGCAAAGCAGGCCTCTATGGGGTGGTAGAAAGGGCAGGGCTGTCCACGTTGCCGGCCTTGGGGCTGAGGGGTTGGTACGTAGGAGCGCATGTGTGCCTCTTGGTGCTTTTATGTATGTTCAGAACCGCCGTAATGAAAACATTAAAAGGAAAGGGGAGAGGAAGACGTAAACATTGAAAGAAAGGCTGTAGTCTCACTTTACTAATGTATATCCTTTTTTAAAAACATTATTTAATTTGATTTATTATTATTTTAGATTTGCTATAGGGCACATGCGCTCACCAAAGAGAGAAAGGGAAAATGAGAAAGTAAGTCTCCAGACCTGGGACTCCAACTGTGGTTGGCCATGTGGGAGTCCAGTGCCTTAACCACCGCGCCATCTTTTGGTCCCAACTAATGCATATTCTTTAAGTTTTCCTTTCTATGCATAAACACATTTTTATGTTTACATATATATTTTTTTCCTGCCATTTTTGAAAGAATACTAAAATGAATGAATGAATGAATGCAGGTAGTATATATATGTGCGCCTGTGTGTGAGACAGAGAGAGAGAGACCCCCCAACAGGATATGGTCACCCTTTTCCTCCATTTCTCCGTCCCTTCAGGATCTTGGGCACATGTACACGTGGTCTGGAGTGTTGCCTCCAGGGCCAGAATTGAAAGTGTGGCTGGCTAGTGGGAGCCAGTTTCCTCTGCATAGCACTTAGCCACTGCGCCATGGGGCTGGTCCCATGTTAATTTTTAATAAGTAATCTTTTTGTTTTTTGGAGAGGTTTTTGCTATAGGGCACGTGTCGCCAGAAAGACAGAGCGGGACAGCGAGAAATCACTCTCCAGAAGGTATGGCTATGCCACAATTCCTTCTCTATCCTCTTCTCAGGATCTTGGGCACGCACACATACACTCCCAGTGTGAGTTTAAGCCACCGGGTCTGGGGCTCGAACTGTGGTCGACTACATGGGAGTCCAGCATCATAGCCATTATGCCAGCTGCTGGTCCTAGAATGCAATTTAATAGATTATTTTCCCTCTACCTTTTTTTAAAAAGATAGGGTCTTGTTATGTCATGATTCTCCTGCGTTAGCCTCCCTAGTGGCCGGGCCACCATCACCAGCCAGTTTTCCTAGCTTCTAGGGTGGGCTGAAAATGGAACCCAGGCCTCCCGTTGTGGCCTCAGCCTGCCCAGGAGCAGCATCTCCCAGTGTGTTAGTGTAATGGGTCTCAGTCCCCTCTTTTCTGGCAAAGTGCTGTGGCAGAATCTTATTATTGCTATGTTTTTTCAGGTGTTCTTTTTTTTTTTTTTTTTTTAAACTTGGTGTATGTGTGTACGTTTCTATTAATATTTTAAAAATTTGACCAGAGAGAGAAATGGAAAGGTAGAAAGCAGGCTGCTATGTCTGGACCCTGTTTGGCTATACGAGGTCAGTGCCTTACCCACTACGCCACCTGCTGGCCCCAGTGTTTGATTATTTTTTCTGGTGACCCGTTTCTTCTTTCAAATCCTGGAAAGACTTCCTCACCTCCTGGAGTTTGTTGTCTCATCTCTCTTGTATCTCAGTTTTATTGCTATGCATATTCTATATTGTTTATCTGATGTTCCCATGAGTTCTATTGTACTATCTGAACGATGAGTTTTTCTTTTCCCTTGATGGAGAGATATTTTCTTGGTTTCTCATATTTCTTGTGCCCTTGTGCTGGTTTCTGGTCATTTGATGGACCACATGTTTCTTCCAAGCTTCTTGGAGTTGATTCTGTAATGTCAGGGTTTGGAAAGATGTGCTTTACTTCTGGTGTGTTCTCCGAAGAGGGCCTTGTTCCAATTAGAAAATGATGTATATAATCAGCTTGAGGTGCTTGGTTCCTCCCCAGAGCCTCAGGAACAGGTGTACCTGGGGCTAATCTGGAGGATATAGCTAAAGGAAGAGAGAAAATTTGTACAACGCGGTCCTCGAACCATGGTCAGCCACGTGGTTCAGCACCTTAACCTGCACATCACCTGCTGGTCCTACTTATTTATTTAAAGAGTACATATTTTAAAATTAAAGTTATTTGTCTTCCTCCAGTTGTGTTCCTTAGAGGAACTTTTTGTCAGCAGCTTCAAATGTGTGTGTGTGTTTGTGAATGTGTGTGTTGGCTCACCAAAGAGAGACAGAGACAGGGAGGAAAAGAGGAAAAGTGAGAAATCATCCTCCCCCAGGAGATGAATATGCCACGGTCCCTCTCCATTCTTGTCTCTAGTCTTTGGGCAGGCATAGCACGCATGCATGCCTGGCGTGTGTTTCAAGCTGCAGGGCCTGGGACTTGAACCGTGCAGTCAGCATTTGGGATCTGGACATCTTAGCCCCATGCCCACCTGATGGCCCTCTATACTGATGTTTAATTACTTTTATTAAAAATATATTTTGAGGGACCAGCAGATGGTGAAATGATTACATTGCTGGACTCTCATGTAGTTGACTGCAGTTCAAGTCCTGGACCTGGTGGCTTAAAACTCATGCTGGTCACATGTGCATGTGTGCCCAAAATCCCACAAGGAGAATGGAGGAGAAGAGACTGTGGCTTAGCCATCCTCCCCGGGGGGTGATTTCTCACTTTCTATCTCTCTGTCTCTTTCTCTGGCCAACGCATGCACCTTATAGCAAAAAATCTCTCTTAAAAATGGATTCTTGAGGCCAGCAGGTGTCATGGTGGCTGAGGGGCTACACTCCCACACGGTCAATCATGGTTCAAGCCCTGAACCTCGAGACCCGCTTTCTCCCTT